TCCGTCCTTAGAAGATTATTTTTTAATAATTTCTTTTGTTGGCAACTAAATTCAACATTCAAATCTCTATGAACAAGATTCTAGAATCATCCCAGGGCCTTTTGAGCCTTCGATGATCTTTTTTAACGGCCTTTTCTTTGTTAGAGGGAATAATAAATGACTCCCGTGTGCATTACAATCTTTGCAAAGTGATTTACTCAACCCTGCACCGTGTTTGCATTACAGTGCTTTCACTGATTACTCACATAAACACATTGTTTGCAGCACTTTTAACACCAATTACAAACAGGCACTTAATTAAAGGCGGCAGGAATCATCCACAGGGGACGCAGACAACCTGCCGCCCGCCACTTACCACCAAATACATATGTCTAATCCTATTAATTATGACAGTAATGCTGCTGTGGCGTGATGAGTCATGTTTCAGTAAACACTGTGACCACTCTGCTTATGTAATGCTTATATGCCTTGTGTGTCACTGCAGATCCATGGGCTTCAGTTGAGTAACACAAAGCGTCCGGTCTTTTAACGCACCGCGCCCCTGAAAACTCTCCACTGACATCACCAGTCATGTAACAATCGTTTTTTTTATCCACTGACAAAAAAAGAAAGTCGAGAGCTGGCGGGGCTGACTGACGCAATCGTCAGATGGATTGACAGATAAACATTGTCGAGGACAACGGGTTCACGGAAGTTTTGAAAGCAACTCGACTACAAGCCACCGTCAAGATACGCGGTGAAGACCAAAATCCACCTGAAAAATAATGTATAAAAAATATGCTATTATATTATAATATATCCTTTTTTACCATTTTTTTTTTGTCATTTTATGACATAATCACTTGGACAAGTCACAACTGAAAACGTGTGGGAAACATAAACAAATACCTGCCTCTAATGCAAAAACCGATTAATAATAAAATAAACAAATGATTTATCCTGATTAATTACATTCATGATTAATCATTATTAATGGCAATTTACCCAGAGCTGCCCTGTGATTAATCAAACTAACATTTTATCATATAATAGACCTTGTATTTGTTGAATTAATCGCATTGTCTGTTGAAAAAAATATATATATATATAAAAGGACAAAGCGCGCGGTTTGGCTGTTTCCTTTTCAGCAGATGATTGAAAAGAACATCCAAATGGGGGTCAAAGCGTTTCTTAACAGACAAGAGCTATCTCAAAAATCCATTAGTGACTCAATGCAGCATCATTACCGCCTGGGCCCGAGCGTACAATATCCTGGCTTTGACTTTTCTGTCTTCTTGGCATTTTCTCCTCAGTCTGGAAATAAAATAGGTAAAGTGAATGAGAGGGTTCTTTTTATAAGGGAAGCAGAATGAAGAATGGTTGGTATTTTAGAAAAACATGTTTTTTTCTTCTTCTGCTGAATTATCACGAGGTCCTTTCATCAGCGATCGTGTTGGCTTCAAGGCAGGACATATTTTAACACTTGGAGGGAAGTATTATGTGACTTGGAGGAATCTATTTCTGGTTTGCTGTAATCAGAGCCCTGAAGAGTGAATCACATTTGACAAGACTGACACAGGGGACGCCACGAGCTGGAAACTGAGACAGATCCAGACACTGCACACGATGAATGAATCAGTAAACAGAACAATACAATGTTTCTGTTTTAGGATCATATAAGACCACGGTGGCCAGATGGCCCGAAATCGAGACGCTGCATCGCATTGTTTTTGTTTTTTTACTGGCTCCCATTTTCTGGTAAAATTAAAAATGTGTTGGAAAATTGTTTGGCGAAAGCAGCGAGGGCTGTCATCAGAGGCCGCCCAGGTCCATCCGTGATCAGCTGAACCTTGGCTAAGCCCCTCCCTCAAAAGCTAGCATGGCTCGGAGTGAACAGAAACAAGAAGAGCGGGGCTTAACGAGGAGGCGGGATTGAAATGATGGTCAACAAAATTTTTTTTAAAATGTCAGCGTGAGCATGGAGGGAAATGAGACAACGATCACGGCGAGGAAAAGAAAATGTAGCTACATTAGCTCATGATGGAACTTTGTTGTTCTTTGCGAGGGAAGGCTTATTGAAAGTGCACTGCAAGGAACTCTGGACGAGGCTGGTGATTTTCAAATACAAACACACTGTCCACACTCATGTAGAGACACGTACAGTACCACCTGGTGGTAAACACTCAGCCCCTGTATGCTGTGTTTCTGTGCAGCGGCCTCAGAGGAGCGCCCACGCTGGGCTAACAGGTCCCCGGTGGGTGCCGGCTCGGTGTGGACATGTTTTGTGGTCATGTCCTGATCACTGCAGCGAGACTGTTACAGAGAGAAATGGTTATGTTTGAAGGGCTGCAGAAAGGTCACGCAGGAACAAATAACTGGACGATGAGGGAAAAAAAAGTAATAGAATCTGTGGTCAGAAAACCTAGAGGTAGAAGAAGGTAAAAAAAACTTTTCATTTTTTGGGTTTAAAGCCAGCTCAAAATATTTCAAAGACACTACAAAAAAAAAACCCTAAACATATTTACTGTGCACGTCTGCTCCACCCCCATGTAGACACTTACAACATGCAACCTTCAGACGCAGCCATTGAAAAACAAACACATTCATCACAACACAGCCTTATTTCACACTGCCCTGTGACAGAAAATTAGATTTTTCTGTTTGAGCAGAGGGATGCAGGAAGGGAGGGGGACGGGGGGGACGGGTGGCTACAGAGGGACACATCAAGAGTTAGGCTGCTTCTTAATCGCTGATGTCTGAATGGATGTCAGCTGCAGCATAAGTGACGATCAGCAGCGTGCGGCACCTGAAGAGGTCTCTTTATAGATGACAAGACTTCAGACGGCAGAGAAAAAGCTTCTTTCCTCCCACTCAGCCCTCTGCCCTGCAGGAGGGATTGACACATGCACAGACACACAGGCCTGCATTCATGCATACATGCAGGGGTTCAGACACACACACACACACACAGACTCACATTGTTTACACAAAATGCTGTGTACAATTTTGCACACTGGTGGTGGATTTCCAAATATCCACAACTGCTCTCCCTTTCTTTATCTTGCTCTCCATCAATCTCTCTCTCTCTCTCTCACACACACACACACACCCAAACACAACCTTATGCATTAAATTCCACACACTCTCCTCCTTCACAAGACACATTACAGACATAGCCTTGGGCCGGCTCCAAGCAATTCATCTCTACATCCCCAGCTGCAGAGCTGCTGAAAAATAACAGTTTAGTGGACGCTCACTGTTTGTATTTAGAGAATATTTTACTGCAGTACTGACTACTCGCCTCTGACTCCCTGCATCAGGACTCATCAGTTCTAGGCCTAGACTGCTGGGGAAACCTTTCTACAATTCAACAATTTCCGAGATCCGGTGTGAGATCAATAGAGTTCAACCTAAACTTACCAGCTGTCAAACAATTAAAAGTTTTAATCATGATTAATCACAGGTCGGCTGTGGCATAATCAAAATTAATAAAAGTAATTGAACTATTAATTAAATTGTAAACAGCAGGTAGATGTATGTGATTTATTTCTAATCCAAATGACTGAATATTTATATATATATATATATATATATATATTTCTTTCACAGAGTTGGTTGATTTCAGTCTTAATGCCAAGAGTTTCTTTAAAATCATTGGTGAAGCCGTCGTCCTCAGTAACATTAGTCAGTCTACAGACCCTCGTGGTCCCTTTGACAATTGTGTCAGTCAGCTTGTCATCCCAAAAAAAAAAAAAAACCTTAAGTATTTAGGTCACAAAGGTATACATAACACTAACACTAGGTGATTTTTTTTTAACCAATTTAACCTCATTTATTAAAAATAGTAAAAAGAGCTGAACGGTCCTCAAAATCTGTGCAGTTTTTCTTTTTTTGCGTAATCACATATTCATATTGGGTCTATGTCTGGTCATACATATATGTGATTAAGCGTTAAAGCACTGTGTGAACATGTGAGCGTACGTGTGCCCGTGTGCTGTGGCAGCAGCCACACATGCTAATCTGTGATGAGAATCATCGTCTGTGTTTCCCGAGCCATTAGACTAATGCTGAGGCATAACACAGAGGAGTGGATGAGACCTGGTGCTAATAGGGGCTAATCAACAGCACCACCTCTCACAATAAGCTCCGCTATGTGACACTAAATATGCCTCGGAATCAGGATCACCAGACCCCGGCAAGAAGATAATTACAGTAGCCCCGCAGCATTTTATTAATAAAATTCCAACAAATCACCTTGAATATTTGAACGAGCGAAGGTGTGTGTGATTTCATTTGACACTTGAACGGCCTGAGAAGTGCTTGCATAGCCGTTGTTATTAATTATTAATATCCCCTTACACTGAGCATTTAATTTAAAAATCTTTTCCTATTCCATTATGAGGTCTAAGCGAGTCTGTTTTTTTAATTCAACAAAAAAATGGAAAAGAAAAAAAAAAAATCAAAGCTTCCAGAAACAAGGCAGGAATGATGTGTTACAGAAATCCTACTGGAGGAGAAACAGGTGCATCACACAGCCCATAGTTCACCAAAGCCTCTCATTTCTCCTAGCAACAACCATTTTACAATATTCACAGCATGTGGTGCAGGAGCGCTCCCATTGCCAGGCATTGGCACAGCGAGTCAGCCCTAATCTGCATATCATGCGATCTGACCAATGAATTGCTTCCTGTTTAATCATTCTATTTGACCTAGCAACCGAAAGCACCCGGCGAGCTTTGGACCGGCAAATAGTTAAATGGAATATATCCCCAGGAACTTGGAAGATCAAATGTAGAAGAAAGAGCCAACGGGGCAGGTTCCTCAGCCTCATTCTTTAATTAACCACAGCACCATGAGGGCGACCCTGCTGCTACATATTTTACAGAGACCATTGAACGCACCAGCTCAGCTCCACCAAGGCTACAACTCAACGGTCGGTTATTTACAGTGTTTAATTCACCGTCTTGATCCCATGAGAAATAAACCAAACTGTAAAATAAAAATCGCTTGTTTGTGTGAGCTTCAAAGACACAGCTTTGATACATAAAGGGTCCACGTCTTCAGTCGCTGAATTCCGGCTCCACACTGGAGCATTGAATCGACGGAGAACTGGCCACAGGGAAGACAGGAAGTGGCTGCATATCATTGAAGAGATGTTTATTATAGTTCACATTTTCACATACAGGTGTGGTCTCTGCAGGAGAAAGGCAGAAGCAGGCTCCACACGGGGCCAAGGTACAAAGAGGGGGCACCGGAGCTCAGCCAATAAACAGAGGTGGCCATGGGGCTGGGAATGATGAATAACCCACCAACCTGCTGGATATAGAGATAAAAAGGAAAAAAAATGCAAAAGTAAGAAGAGCGGGGGGGCTGCGGCTCCAGATCAGTACATGAGACTCTACAGGAGTTGTTGCAGGACGGGCCGGGGGACTTGGACAGAGGTAGAGAGTATGAAAAAATAAAGAGAAGAGAGAAGGTTGGAGGGGGGGGAGGTTTAGGGAAGTGGAAGGCCTCCATTAGTGAAGTCCGTCACCTTCTGGCCTTCTCGGATCTCCTCATCTCCATAATAGGCTGACCCCCTGTGTTTCTGGCTCATTAGAAAGGCAGACAGCGGGGCCAGGCAGACACACGCCTGTCACCTCTGTGGCCCCACCAGGGACCTTGATGAGACAGAGATAAAAGAAGGATGAATGGAACCATGGTCAGAGAGCAAGAAGGATGGGATGGAAGGTTGGGCTTCAGGTTAGATCAGGAGGAGAGAGAGGAGCGAAGAAACGGAGTTTAGCTGCGTCTGTACTGGAAAAACAGATGAGGAATAGAAGGAGGAAACAGTGGCTGGGTGAAAACAGATCTGTGTAGAAACAGAAATCTGATAGGAGACGAGTGGCACGGGGAAATTGGTGTGATCTGCCGAAACTAAAGTTTTTACACACATCAATGGAAGTCAGAATGCAATAGTTGGTGTATTTGTGTTTATTAACATCTCTGCTAATATTAATTCAATATTCTTTCCTTTTGCTTCTTTTGTGTCTGAGTTTAGAACATCAACCACCAATGAAGTGACATGATTCTGACTGACAGTCAGTCTGGACATTCTGGACACTCAGTCCTGGTTTGGGATTCTCCCTCGGGAGACCTTGTTTTTTTTTTTTTTTTTGCTCACATTGAAGCAGCGTCCCTACGCCACCCTCTGGACCAGACCCCCCAGACCAGTGGGACAAGGTCATAGGTGACAAGGTTGGCGACCTCATCTGGCCTCTTGCGCTATTGGATGGTGATCAGTCACCTCACGGCTGATTGAGCGTTGGCTAAAGTCGATCCTGTGTCTCGCCCACAGGGAAATCATGGCTGATAAAATCACAACTGTCCTGCAGGAAGGAAATTGCACAGGACACATCCTACAAGAGCTGTCTCAGGGACGAAA